TGTTCGAGACGGAGGCGAACGCCGCCGCGGCGTGGGCCGCGGAGCTCGCGTCGCACGCGACGACGTACGCGGAGAAGGAGGACGAAGCCGTTCGCGCGGCTCGACGTTGTAACGCGTTGGAATCCGCGTTGAAGGACGCCGACGCGGCGAAAGCCGCCGCGGAAGCCAAGGCGGGGAAGGCTGCGGTCGAGATCGCGCGCCTCCGCGCGGAGCTGCGCGAGGCGAGAACGCTCGAGGCGGCGTCCGCGGAGGCGGCGTCCGCGTTGAAAGCGGCGGAGGAGAAGCGCGCGAACGACGCCGCGAACGCGCCGCCGCCGCCGCCGCCGCCGTCGCCGGCGGAGCTCGAAAAGACGGCGGCGCTGACCGCGGACGTGACGCGCCTCGAGAGAGCGCTCGCGGAAGCCGAGGCGACCGCGGCGAAGGCGCTCGAGACCGCGATCGCGGAAGCCGAGGCGACCGCGAAGCTGGAGCTCTCCGCGACGGTGATGGACATGGAGGAAGAGACGGAGACGTACCGCGAACTCAACGCGACGCTGCAAGAGAAGCTCGCGGAGGCGGAGGCGAACGAGCGAAGCGAGCGCGAGCGCTTCGAGATGGAGACCGAGGATTTGAAGCAAGCGTTGGCGGACCGCGAGAAGGAGCTCAAGAAGGCGAAAAGGGCGGCGGAGGTGGCGGCGGCGGCGGCCAGCGCGCCGTCGCCGACGCTCGCGACCGCCGCCGGCGTCGTCGTCGTCGGCGGCGGCGGCGGCGCGTCCAAGTCGAACGCGGAGAAGACGTCGCTGACGTCGCGTCTGACGGCCGCGATCGAGGAAACCTCCGCGAAACTCTCGAAAGCGCGAAGCCTGAAAAAGAAGACCGAGTACGAGTCCGCGCTCGCCGAGCTGACGCGCGAGCGAGACGAAATCGCGACGCTCGAAGCCGCCGCCGCCGCCGCCGCCGCCGCCGCCGCGGCGCTGCGCGAGTCCGAGACCGCCGCGAAGGCGTCCGAGGCGAAGCTCCAGGAGACGATCGCGACGCTCGAGGCCGAGCTCGTCGCCGCGAAGACGCGCGCGGAGGCGGACATCGCGCGCGCGTCCGAAGAGGCGAAGACGCTCGCGCGGCGGCTGCGCGACGCGGAGGCGCGCGCGGCGGCGGCGGAGGCGGAGTCTCGCGCGGCGGCGGCGGCGGCGGCGGCGGCGGAGTCGTCGCTGACGTCCGCCGCGAGGGACGCCGCAGAGGAAGCCGCGGCCGCGGCGAAGGAGGTTCAGACGCTCAAGCAGCGCGCCGCGGCGCTCGAGGCGACGCTCGCCGACCGCGACGGGGCGCTCCTCGCGCGCGAGACGGACCTGGAGCGCGTGAAGACGGAGCTGGCGGCGACGACGGCGGAGCTCGCGGCCAAACGCGAGGCGCTGGCGCGCGCGGAGAATGACGCCGCCGAGGCGCTCGAGGCGAGGCGGGCCATCGAATCGAACGCGGACGCGGACGCGGACGCCGCGAAGTTGTCGTGGCTCGTGTCCGGTCTCTTCGGGGGCTCGGAGACCGCAACCGGGGCGTCTCCTCCCGCGGGGGCTTCGTCCCCGAGCGTCGCCGCGCGTCTCTCGCTCCTCGTCGAGAGCCGCAGGGCGCTCATCGCCGAGGGCTCGCTCGACGCCAATGCGCGCGCGTCGATCGAAGCCGAGATCGACGCGCTCGAGGCCCGGAGAGATGAGCTCGCCGCGATGGAGAGCTCGCAGCTCGAAATGGACGAGCGTCTACGCGCCGCGAAGGACGCGTGGGCGGAGCAGCAACGCGGGCTGCGGGCGCGGATCAAACAGCTCGAAGCCGCCGCGGACGTCGCCGGGAGCGTGCGGAAGAAGAAGGGCGGCGACAGCGCGGAGTCGCTTCGCATTCTCGCGGAACAAGCCGAGCGCGCGCTGAAACGTCGCGAGGCGGAGCTCGAGGAGAAGGAGAAGGAGAAGGAGAAGGCGGTGGAGGAGGCGGAGCGACTGGTGCGGGACTTGGAGAGGGAACGCGCCGCAGCGAAGGACGCCGTGGACGCCGCGAAAGCCGAGGCGACGCGGCGAGAGAAAGAACGCGAGGCCGCCGCCGCGGTGTGGGCGGACCTCGAGAAGACGCTTCGAGCGCAGATCGAAGCGTACGAGTCGCAGCGCGAGGACGACGACCGCGGCGGCGGCGGCGGCGGCGGCGGCGGTCGCGGCGGCGGCGGTCGCGGCGGCGGCGGCGGCGGCGGCGGCGGCGGCGGCGCGGCGT